GAAAGGTTTAATACTACTATTACTACCATTACTACGGTTGATGATTTAAATCCTGCATTACCCATAATAAAATAATTCCCATAGTTTAGGGTCCTTAGGGTAATGCAGGATTTATATCATCAACAGTACTGCTGCTAGTACTACTACTACTACTACTACTACTACTACTACTACCGCTACAAGTACTACCACCATGGGCACCGTAATTGCTGTCAAGTCAATGCTGAGCTCAAGCAGCTCGGGCAGCAGCTTCTTGGTACCAACTTCCGCGCGCGCCTTTCAGGAAGCTTGAGAAAAGCATTTAGCATATAGGGTTTTGAGTTATCGGCTTTCCTGCTTGGGCTGGAATTTAGGCCTGGGGTTTTTGGGACTCTCTCGGATGAAGACGGGTTGTGGCAACCTGTCAAGCTTCCAGAGCTTAGCCCCTTGTTCTCACTGGGCACCGTGCCGGCTCTGCGTACTCCACAAGCGCTGAGCTTAAGAGCATGAAAGCCTCAAGGACTGTTGCTTGGTGGCCGTTCATGTGCTTTGATCTTGGTTGATGATTTTGGACTACATTGACTACACTTTACACCTCGGCCCCGATTCCTCGAAATGTATGATCGTCCGTTTGAAGTGAGCATACGCTACCCCAGCCGAGGATCGTATCTACCATCGGTTCGGCAACACCAAACCACCTGAGCTGAGCACATCCGGCTGGTACACACCATCCACAATCTGAACTTCCACCTGGGAGCAAGTTTGCCAGATTGGCATCTCGGGCATTCAGTGCGGGGTCATCGCTCGTTTCAGCTTCCAAAGAAAAGAACCGCGTCGCATGTTGTACGACCTAAGGTGCCGCAGTAACAACTCCAACAAACGAAAACAGCATGCCCACCCATGCTCTTTGCTGCTCAGTTATTCGCGGCTGCCTTGTTGGTCACTGAAAACAGTGTACTTGGATATGTCTCGACAACTGTTTCTCTTCTGCGGGCACCTTGCTACCATCTACACATGCCCATATAAACCCCAACTCCCAAACCGGCACATCCGAAGCCTACACCGCGAACCCTTTGCCCCTAAACCCTGAGTACTCCCACGAAGAGCTGAGCCTTCTGCAGACATGTCGAGCTCAGGGTACTGGAGGGGCCTAAATAATTACCAATCCTATTTTGGGGGCCTCCTTATTATGATTATAGTATAATGGGGCCCCAAAACCCTATTCCAAGTTGTAAGGTCCCTATATTAACTTGGAGCCCCACGCGCCACTCAATGTCCACGATGGGATGGAGCCTGATTTCTCACATGGCCGTTGTTTGCGAAGTGTCTGCCGAGGAGAGGCAATTGGGAATACACTTCCTTAGGAACACATCCTGACCAAAACGGTACTTACCTCATGGCTACTTTTCAGGCAACGTTCGGGAGAGGGAGTCTGAACAACTACCATATGATAAAGGGTTCATGAGTAGTATCCCGTTATAATGGCACCACAACACAGGAGCCTCCTGTTCGCACTCGCAAAACCAGCTTCATCTAGGGTCTGGATTCGGGTTTAGTTCAGGGTTTGTCTCAGAAGCTCTACAGGGACAGTCAGTGCATCGATGGGAAAACCTTTCGTAACGAGATTTCGCGGAAGGCACCTCATGGGTTGACAAGGATTCTATATCTTGGGTTTCAGGTCTAGTTACGTGCCAAACTGTTGCCCTTTATGGCATCACAGTATGAATGGGACTTCCCATCGGACCAGAACACACACGTATCTAGAATGCCCCACGACAGAAACGTAAAGATCTCCCACATCTCGCTTCTGAAACCCGCCTTACAAGGATTTGCATGTCTACGATCCGAAAACCTGCGTACTCTTCGTGCCCCTCACAAACACCCCAGTGCACCCAGGACATGGGCAGCAGGAGCCAAGCTCCAGACAAGAAGGTGAAGACTCCGTTTGCCAGGCCTCCTTCACCCCTTTCATTTCCCTGCGGCCGCAAGACATTTGGGTAGTTGTCAAAATTATGGTCCCTTTTGGGGTACCCTAAATAATAGGCGCCGTATTATAATAAGGACCCAAAAAGGGACCATAATTTTGACAACCACCCATTTATGAAATTCAGGATTTGAGATGATTCATGGTGTAGGGCTTTCTTTCTAACAGAGCTTGTTCTCAACAAGGCTCCCGTCGAAGTTGCCAACTAGGATGAGAACCGTAGACGGACGCGAGTCCTTGACATGCACAAATAACGTCTGCGTGCGCAGCCTTTCACCAAGCTGCAGGCAAGGCAAACGTTGCGAGCTTCCAGTGGGACCCACACAATTTTGAGAACCCCCCCTGATTGCAGCAGAGCCTAACTCCCCCAAAAAGGTTTCCCTAGATTGCATGAAGACTCAACCCGTGTGGTTGTTTTCTTTAGATGCTCTGGTCTCTCCCCGCCAACGTACAGCCTGAAGCTCCCTATAAACCCTTCACTCACGGGGGCCCCCCAATAAACGGGATCCTTCGTATGACTCCAACAAAGAAGAAAGTAGAACGCAGTCCGACAGCCCGACTCCTCACAAGGAAATAATAATGCATTAAACAATGAGACAACCACCATGTACCTGTTGTTTCGCTGCTTGTAGAAAACACCCCTAAAATCCTAAACCCCTAAATCTTAAGCCCTAAACCCCTAAAACCCTAAAGCCCTAAACAGTAAATCCATGTAAATCCCTAAACCCTAACCCCCCCAAACCCCTAAACCCCAAACCCCGAAATCCCATATCACAGCCCCAATCCCCTGAACCCCCCAAACCTCCTAAACCCTAAGCCGGGAAGATTGCTACAAATGTAGGGGCCTTAATAATTAGAAGAGGGTTTTGGGGTATACTACACGGTAATTTGTAATAAGAAGCCCCCCAAAATAGTACAGGTAATTACTAAGGCCCCTATACGACGGTTGATGATATAAATCCTACAACCGCAGTATATAAAACCCGAAGCCCTAAACCCATAAGGACGCAATTATGAAGGCCCCTATCTTAAACCCTAAACCCTATAAAGGCCCCTAAACCCTAAGCCGGGAAGTTTCCTACGAGTAGCATCCTTGAGATGCCTCCTGCTCAAAGGCCGGCGGCAAAGAAATCTCTGCCTCAGGATGGGCTTAGAGTTCTTTGGTTTTAGGGCTTTAGGGCTTAGATGGCTTCGAGTTCTTTGGGGGTTTTAGGGCTTTAGGGCTTTAGGGTTTAGGTGGTTTAGGGGGTTTAGAGTTCTTTGGGGGTTTTAGGGCTTTGGGGTTTTAGGGTTTAGGGTTGAGATGGGCTTAGAGTTCTTTGGGGTTTTAGGGCTTTGGGGTTTAGGGTTTAGGTGGTTTCGGGGGTTTAGGGTTCTTTGGGGGTTTTAGGGCTTTAGGGTTTTAGGGCTTAAGGTTTAGATGGGCTTAGAGTTCTTTGGGGGCTTTAGGGCTTTAGGGTTTTAGGGTTTAGGGTTTAGATGGCTTAGAGTTCTTTGAGGGTTTTAGGGCTTTAGGGTTTTAGGGTTTAGGGTTTAGATGGCTTAGAGTTCTTGGGGGTTTTAGGGCTTTCGGGCTTTTAGGGTTTAGGTGGTTTAGGGGCTTTAGGGTTTGGGTTTAGGCTTTAGGTGGTTTAGGGGTTTAGGGTTTGTAAGGGAGAGAGAGAGAGAGAGCTTTATCTATGTACATATATATATATGTATACGTAAGTATAATATTATATATATATATATTATATATATATATATATATATGTACTATACGGGATACTGTACGGTGTTGGGGGCCTTAAACCCTAGATCCATTTGAGGGATGCTATAAGGCTTCGAAGGCATACTCTAAAGGGCTCCTATAAGGGCTCTTTTAAAGGAGCTGAGGGTGTCTAGGATCCGTGTCTTCCTTTTCTTTTGAGTATATACCCCTTCACCCCCAATCACTTTAAGGGTACTATAGGGTTTAGGGGCTGAAGATAATGATGGCATCCAACAACTGTGTATTCCAAATCCAGACGGAACTTTGGGATCCAAGACTTGAGCACTCAGTTTTTCGTTTGCTTCCCATCAACCTGAAACCCTTCAAGTCCTACTAAACCCTCAACCCTAAACCGTAAGCCCTAAACCCTAAACAGTGTAGGGTTTTGGGTTCCGGGGTTTAGGGCTTTGGGCTTCCTGTCTGGGGTTCCCACACAGCCACGGCTCTTTGCGATCTTCACGTCGAGATCTCTCTTTTCTGGTGTCCTTTGTCTCTAAGGTCCGTCTATGCGAAGTTAGGGTTTGAGCTGTCTTCTCTGGTGTCGTAGAAGAAACATGTCTCATAATCGTGCCATGTCATGGGAGGAAGCTGTCATGGGCAACAAGAGATGCATGCGGATACGCGGCTGTGCCGACACCTACATTAGCTATCGTCAAAGAAGATCGATAGTAGCCGTAGAGGAACCCTTAGCCCTCAGAGTACCCCTTGCAGTCGCCTTTGTAGCTCTTACAGTACGCCTTGTAGTACCCTCGTTGTAACCCTCTATAATGGCCGCGGTGGTAAGCCTGCTAAACCTCAACCACTCTTGAAAGAGCGGTGCTCTTCGGAGCTGTCCTCGCAGCGACCAGGGCATGGCACTCGATCGGGTCGCTGTAGAGTGGGTCAAGCCTCGGCGGTATCTCGGATTTGGCTCCTGAAGCTCTTTATCCTTGTCGGCAAAGCCACGATAGTCCTTCTTTCCTTCTCTCTGAATCATCAGCTATCAGCCAGTTGCAGGAGTCGGAGTTGGGAAAGGAGTTGCCCGGTTTATACAACAGAAGAATCAGTCGATGCCAAGGCTCTTAGGGTTCAGGGTTTGGGGACCCGGGGCCTAGGGTTTCGTGTGTCACCACTGAGGCCTTTGCCCTAGGTGAGTTCGAAGTAAAGCAAGGGTTCGACATACCACAAGGGCCTACATAGTTACCAAGGGGTCTTGAAACTCCACAAGGCGGATCTTCAAACAACACGAAGCTGACGGGCGACGTGACAAGCAACAGTGAAGGATTTGCGCTGGGGAGTTGGGGTTTGGGAGGACATCAACACCAACAATGCGAATCATGCGAATAGCGAAATAACGGAACTTGCTACAGACACAAGAATTGAGGTCAACAACAACAACAACAACAACAACATTGCGATTTCGGTGCTCCAAATCCGGAGTTTGCAGAAAACGGGGGATCCAACGAAGTGGGATCCCAAAAACAAGGACCCCTAAACACGGTACCCGCTAACAGCTAGCATCAAAAAACTCTCACTGCAGAAGACTACCAGGACTCCTCCTAAACTCTTATAACATTTAAACCCCAAACCCCGAAACCTCCAAACGCCTAAACCCTAAGCCCTGAACCCCAAACCACTAAACGTCCTAACCCCTAAGCCCTAAACCCCCAAGCCCCTGAGCACCCGGCTCCGAGCCCACGTAGAACTTAATCCGCCAATGCTTCCCGTAGACCGTCTGCAGACAGCTCTGGGGTTGGGACCCTGGGTAGTTACACATAGGCTCCGTAGTAGTTCATATTTGGGATCCTATAAGGGACTACCATGGAGCCTATGGGTACGCTATACTACGGACATATACGGACTGTAAGGGGAGATGTTCACGCAACAATCCGAACCCCCCCCCCTCCAGCCTAGAGCAGAGTTTTAAGCCTTGCGCTTGCAATGCTTCTGCACCGTTCCCGACAACACCCGAACTGTACAACAAGCCAGGAATAGTTCACGCGGTTTCGAGGGCGATTATTTTTCCTACCACAAACAAATAAAGCATTGATTGACGACAAAAACCGTATTGAACATCATCACAACTGTATCGCATCGTCGACGTGACAATCGTTGCAATGCAAACTTGGATCCTCATCCTCCTCCCTGATGGCAGCATCCTCTACCGTTTTATACTTGGTGGTCATTGTTCTCTCCACTGACACCACCAACCGCAAAACAAGCAAAACAGTTCTGGCAAGAACGAAGTGAAAAGAGGTGATGCTTCAGTCATCATCCCTAACCCCCTCGATCGAAATCCATCAGAAAGCAACGCTGGGGCTAGGGCCCAAATCGCCAACCTTCCCCTCCCCTCCACGGCTCGGGCTCCTCTTGGGGCAAGTGCCGCACGTCGAAGGTGACCAGGGTCACACTTCCCGCAGTGGCTGCGTAGACGGGCCGGAACTCCCTGGGTTTGGGGCTCGAAACGAAAAGCTTCCGGGTGCCGCATTGTAGGGGCCCTGAGAGTCAAGATTCAACTATCTAGGGTCTATATGTCACCATCTCCCACTTTCTGCAACTTCGATTTCTAGCTTTAGGGTTTGATTCAGACCTCCAGAGTGCATGAGCAGGGTATTGAAGAATTCCATTGCAAGTTCTGGTCTAACTCAGATGCCATGCAATCACCCTACAGCCTTCAGCCCAAAGCACTTTGGGAGGATGGAGCCCCCCTGTCAACATAGGGGCCTACATAATTGCCAATACTATTTTTGGGGTTCCTTAGGGTAATTATAGTACAATGGGCCCCAAAACCCTGTTCTAATTATTAAGGCCCCTATATTACAAGGAACTCCAGTGTTTTGGCCTTTGCAGCACTTCATGCTGTACTCAACCCCTAAGACGACGGATCTGGTGCTTCCAGCTGCCTCAACCAGAGCAAGGAGATTGAATAACATGCAGCACCCCGATTCGTGCCAGCTCCAACTGCACATGAGCATGGCCCAATAGAGGGGCCTTATTGATTACCATAGGGTTTGGGGATGCTGCCTCTTGCCTGCCTCCCGCGGCCAAGGCTGCCACCCTTCGTTGATTTCCGGATCGCCTGCTGACTTGACCTCACGGCTTCACGAACAGAAATAAAACTTTGAGAGGTTGCCGGCAGCTTCGGAGGCTGAAGGCGTCCTAACAACTTGTGCAGTCTCGGAAATGTCAGATGTCGGTGGAGCTCAGGATCGTGGCCCACTTCTTGGGCGAAGCTGCTGTGTCCACCTCGGCTGAAGCCGCACATGCTCACGAGGAGCTGGCGACAATGGGGGACCGTAATGTGGAATTCTAGGATACAGTGTACGATCCCCAAAATGATGGCTCCCAAAATGGGGGTTTCCGAAAGTAGGGGACCCTAATATGGTACCCTAAACAATAGGATCCTTTTTATAAGGACCCCCAAATAAGGTACCCTAATGTTCGGAAACTCCCAAATGATACCTTCGTTTTCTGAATCTTTCAGCTGCGTTTTCATTGGGAAACAGAATCGGATCAAGCACCGGCATAGCACAAAGGGTAAGCACAGGCAGTATGGAACACGAAAGGCCCGCTAACACCTGGAGATTCATAAAGGAGCCGGCTTTTAGGCTTTTCGATCAAGCCGCAGCCTTAAAACCCAAACCCTACACCCTAAACCCTGTATAAACCCTATACCCTCTATAAACCCCATATAAAGCCTAAACTCTAAACCCTATATCAGTCCCATATAAACCACTAAACTCCCAAAACCATCTCAAGGTCGGGGCCGGGTTGATCCTCTGCACGATCATGTCCAAGCTCTCTAGCAGGTAGGAAACCTGGGGAGCTTTGGCCACGGCGCGGCGGAGATGAGACTTAGGGGGTTTGGGGGTGTTGAGGGTTTGGGGTTTGGGGTGTATAGGGTGTAGGGTTTGGGGTGTATAGGGTTTAGGAGGTTTAGGGTTTGGGGTTTAGGGTTTGGGGGGTGTAGGGTTTGGGGTTTAGGGTCTGATTCTCGGTGTCCGCTTGTCGGATCGCCTACAGAGATCCCCTACCGCCCAAGCCATCGGCTAGCGCAGTCTAGTCAGACATTGAGAAGTTGCGTTCCAAGCACAACTCTGACGTCCGTTTCACACCCCGGCAAATGTCAACTTCACCGCCTGATTGACGGGATGACTGGTAACTCGAGTACTCACAATCTCCTGAGAGCAAAACGAGTGGCAGTTACTGTCGTAGACAGCATCTAAGACCACAGCGGCAATCTTCCGAATACTGAGAACCTCCCTTGAATCGAGAATTCTTGGAACATCTCGGAATCTTGTATAGCTCCAGGTAGCCGTGGGCGAGCTTCTCTTCTCGCACTGCCGCAAGTCAACTTCTCCATCGCTGGGCGTCATGGTACCTGCGTCGTATATAGATAGGGACTACAGCATCAACTCCATGGAGTGGGGACTGGGCTTCCTGGAAACCTTTCTGCTGTTCCTATGATGGGATGCCTGCGTTACATAACGTTTTAAGGGGCTTAGGGTTTATAGGGCTTCAAAAGCCAAAAAGCCATGCCAGCTTAACATAGCTCAGCGCACCGAAATACACAGACAGGCCGTTGCCTGTGCAGTTGGAGCGAGCTATGGTTGTAACCGAGGCCCTCGCCGAAGGGGCAGCGCGTCATCGTGTACTCCCCCTCTGCAAAGCGAGCCTGCATCTCCTGCGGCAGAGCAAAAATGTATAGTAATGTTATAGAGACCCTACTTATAGTAACTAGTCTAGTACTGATAGTATGTTATAGTGACCTTAAACTTACATGAAGTAACTAGTATAGTACTGTAAAGTAGCCCTTAGAGCAAATAACCCTACCCTCTTTTGGTAACCACCAGTCCTAATTCACCGGTACTACCTGCGACAGGCAACATCACAATCATGCACACTCTGATGGGCCTCAGCACCTCAACACTTCAAGTCATCCCCCCAGTGCCAGCTGGGCCAACCACTGGATGCACTAAGAGGAGGCCAAGGCCCATTGGCTCCTCCTTCAGAGACTCTTGGACGTAGAAGAGATAGTTGCCAGCCATGAGATCGAAATCGTCAATCTGCCAACGGGTCATGGTCAGCCACGATGACGCAGTGTTCAGAATTCGGCTTAAGAGGGCGAGCGATGCATGAAGAAATGCGAGGACTGGGCACGTACACGAGTACACGAATGGAACACAGCCAGAATGCAACAGGCTCGCAAAAAAGAGGCTTCTCGCCTTGCCTCTCCGCCTTCTCTCCTCATATCAGTGGACAAGTCCAGGCACGTGGCATCCTGTCCAAAGGAAGCATGGATCGAGCATGTTGGCGGCACCAACTAAGCTGCTCTTCCCGATCCTCTGAATTGTCCACACACTCAACCGAGGGATAGTCGCCGCCGAAGCAGTCGAGCATGGCAGCGGCGGAGGCTGGCAGCAAAAGGTGCTAATATGAGGACGTGGCAGAAACGGGCTGGGCAGCTGGGAAGTAAACTGGTCGGCGCCGCTTGCCGTACACAAGCACTCCAGCTGCGTGACATTGTTGCAGTTCCTTAGCAACTCATCCTGCGATCAGCCGCTTCGATCTACTTACCTAGATACCTGCCACTCCATGTTCCAGACTGTCATGCTTTGCCGAAGATCCTAGACAAGCTCTTGACTCAGGCTTTCGCGCCGCATCTGGTGGGCACTGCCTCGACCTTCGCCAGCATCAGCTCGATAGCTTGAATTGGCTCGAGGAGTTGATGGACAAACTCTTGCATCAGTACCTTTAGCACCCCAAAGCATAGGAATGATAGTATAAGACTCAAAGAGGCATCATGCCTGAACATCATCCCACAAACATCGATATCCTTCAGTCAGTCGTATTCTGCAGGGGTCTTCGGCTCACCCCTTTAGAAGCTTGTTTGTTTAGGATTTAGGGTTTCGAATCAAGGGAGGCAAGGCTTGGGGCTTAGGGTAATGTAGGAGCCTTAATAATTAGAATAGGATTTTGGAGGGTTCCCTATTATAATTATAGTATAATAGTTGGGGCCCATCATACTATAATGATAATAAGGAGCCCCCAAAATAGTATAGGTAATTGTTTAGGCCCCTATATTAGGTTGGTTGCGGTTCCCGACACTGACTGAAGACCACTTTGTCTGAGCCGTCGACGGGAAAGTCTGATCCGACAGCAACGGGCTGTATTGGCTGCACCTTGCTATATATAGAACACAATAGAAACTATAGTAAAACAAGTATCAAAATAAATTTGTTTGGCAGTATATCGTATATAGTATGTGGTAGTTGTATCACATCAGGACCTGGCCGACATCCTTTCTGAGGGAAACACATGCATGCTCAGTCAACTCTAATCTCCAACCACAACCATCCAGGCAGCGCCATGCGTCATGACTGAGTGTCCATTTCACTCTCAATCCCTTCCGGTATGTGGCCGACGCCTCAATCTTACAGGCCTAAGTTGTGGGAACTCTGGGAAGCCCTGATAACAGGGACCAGACGATTATGGAAATTCCGACAGCAACATCACGTCGCACATTTGAGGGGCAAAATTGCGAGTCTGGTGCGCACCTGTCGACGCTAAAGTTCAGCTTCATAGCAGGAGACCGCTACATGCGCACCTGATTCGGATTATATACTGTGATCAGTTCTACAAGCTTAAAGGGCTTTAACTGAACCGCATCCTGAAATCCTCGCTTGGAGTCACGTCGTGGTATCCCTCAGGCACTGAGCATTATGCACTAGTCTCGTTACCAGCAGGCCCGGGTAGTCCTGTAGAAAATGGGCTTTCCGGCTTGTTCGTGTACTGCTCAGCGGACTTCAAGAGCTTTGTCAGGAGCGAGGACTTGAAGAATTCCTCGGCAAGTGAAGCTTTTCGCTGTCATGTTCTCGGTGCTATGCAGGTTTCCGGGTTCCCTGGGCCGAACTCGAAGCTGCAAAGCTGCATGTCCGTCAGAAGCCCTAAACCCACCGCTCGGCCCCGCACGACATCCTGGATGGCCGAGATCATGGCCAGGATGCCCTCTCGCTCTTGCCCGACCTGTGGGCGTGAAATCGAAGCGAGGTGCCGAATTGAGGCGTTTGCTTTTCGAAAACAAGAGGACAACGGTGTAAGGGCCTGCTAGTCATGCTACCGGCGAGAGCCTGCAATTGGACTGGGAGACTGTAGCAGCTAATGTCAGAGGCATAATAGAGGGGCCTTAATAAATCGAATAGGATTTTGGGGCCCAGTATACTGAAATTATAATAAGGACCCCCCGCCCCAACAAAAGCAGTAGTAATTATTTAGGCCCCTTCATTAATTAAACCCTAAAGCCTAAACCCTAATATAACCCTAAACCCTAAACCCTAATATAACCCTAAACCCTAAACCCTAATATAACCCTAAACCCTATATTATAGAAAGCCCCTCATTGGAACCCGAAGAAGGACCGGCCTGCAAGTCGTGGCCTTTAAACTTGCGCCACACCTCGCGGAGTGGATCGGCCAAAGGTCTGTCTAGGGTTTCCGGGTTTAGGTTTAGGGCTTTAGGTGGGGTTTAGTTTAGGGTTTAGGGTTTAGGTTTTAGGGTTTAGGTTTTAGGGCTTTAGGGTGGGGTTTAGTTTAGGGTCAGACTCTTAAGGTCTAGGCTATGGGTTCACTTCTTTTGCCCCGAAGCCAGGTCAAGCTGCAAGTCTGTCTCCACTCATACGCATTACTCTAATTTCTAATGATACTAGCACACTCATCCCCCAAAAATTGAATTCTCCTACTTTAAGCGTGGAGTGTTTTGGGGTTGGGCCAGAGGGCTTTTTCGTAAGAATTGACGGATTAGATCGCGCAGTTGCTGTCTATGGGGCTGCTCTACCAGGACTCTACCATCAGGCTCTTTCAGATAAAACATGATAGGAAGTTCGACGCTTTAAACAGAACCTGGCTCTGGAATCCTGGCCTGGAAACTATATAGCCTCATAACACGTGCCCTTCAGTGCTAAAGCAAAGCTCAGCTGGGGCCCGAAACCGCCATGATGGCATCCTCCTGGCAGTACCCGAGATCGTAGTCCTGTTGCAAAAGAAGCCCAGAGAGGGCTTTCCCACCCAAAGGCTCAGGGTTTAGGGGGTTTCAGGCTTTAAGTTTGTGTGGGGTTTACGGTTGCGGGGAATTCATAGAAGCTATCGCAGTGGGAACTGAAGGCCCATTTTTTGGTGGGTTCAAGCAGCGGGAGGTTGTCTTTGAGCCATAGTGCACGCTAAACCCTAAACCCTAAAACCCTAAACCCTAAACCCTACAGTGTCAGACAGGCCTCAACAGGCAAAGCTGCTACGCAGGGTTTTGGGTTCAGGGCACATAGTGGAGGGTCGAGCTCACATCCGCTCCTGTATGTTGCAGCATAAGGGCAGGAGGGAACCCCAAGGAATAATCTTACTTATGTAGGGGCCTTGATAATTAGAATTGGGTTTGGGGTATAGTATCATAATAAGGAACCCCAAAACAATATATGGGTAAGTATTTCGGCCCCTATAGTCAACAAACTCCAGCCCCTACGACCCCAAGCACGACAATGCCAGTTGTAAAATAGAAGCACAGCCCGAAGACCAAGCCACTAAATCCGAAGCCGCTCGAGCCCCCAGCACCTCGTTTTCGTGTCGTGCTCGGGGTTGAGACATCCGGGCTTAAAGCTTGGAGTCTATATGGTTTGGGTTTAGGGTTTAGGGTTTAGGGTTTAGGATCAAGGCCTCCATCCAGCTGCTCTGGATCTCGGTCTGCTCCTTCTTGTCGATGAGGGGTAGGTTGGCCTAAGGCAGAGGCGCTGCCTTTGTTTCAGTTCAGGGCCCTCAACATGGGTAGTTTTCTAAATTAGGGTCCTTTTTTAAGTCCCCATTATAGTACGGCACTCTTATAAAAGGAACCCAAAAAGGGAACCCTATTTTGGAGAACTGCCCACATCACTTCTTACCATCACCCAACAACCTTCCATCACCCATCATCAACTTACACTTTCTAATCCCTTCCCTCTAATATTTTATTCTTAGAGGGGGTGCTATCGCTACTGTCACTTTTGGGGATCTTGCTATTGCTCTTGTTCCTGCTCGGTTTCTTGCTCCTGCCACCGCTGCGTTTGTTGCTCTTGCTTTCCTACTCTTTCTGCTCCTGCTGTTGCCTTTGCTTCTGCTCTTGCACTTGCTCCTGCTCTTGCTCCTTATCTGGCTCTTGCTTTTGTTCTTCTTCGTGCACCTGCCTGGTTCCTGAACCCACCCTAATTCAAACTCGGTTGCAAAGGGCGGGATGATTTCAGTGATGTTTCACGCTATCATCCTGAGCATACTTCTATCACCTGCAAGGAGTTTGCGCTACAGCAAAAGCAGGGCCCCCACTCGGGCGAGTCTGAGCTGCTCCAGCGCTACGAACTCGAAGTTGTTTCGCATGATCTGCCGCAGGCAGTACTGCGCCACCTCGAGATCGGATGGGCTTTGCAAGGGTTGTCAGGGGCGCCGGGCTTTGGGTCCTGCGGTAATCCTAAACCCTAAACCCCAAACCTTAAACCCTAAACCCTAAACCTTAAACCCTAAACCCTAAACCCTAAACCGTGGGTTTCGGGGCTTTGGGTTTAGGGTTTGGAACCCAAGCTCACTCCTTGCCGCAAGCTTTGAAGCTATGTTGCGCTACGGGGGCACGATTACTAGCAAATTCTTCCAGCTCCTGTAGTAAAGTATCTCCCTGACTACTACTGTAACAAATCATTCCGGCTCCTGTAGTAAAGTATCTCCCTGCGAGCCTTCTGTGTCAAGTAGAACTCCTGCTTCTCCACGCAGACACTGCCCTGAAGAAGAGGTCGCCTGGCATGCAGCGAAATAAACAACGATCACGATAGCTTCTAGAATGACGAGCATAACAAATGACAATAGATGACAATAGATAACCATCATGGCGTTAAACATGCTCATCATCATAACCCTTGCAGAAACTGAGGATAAATCTCCACCCGATTTCAGCAACGCCAGCCGGGCACACTTCAGGTCTGCGCGGGCACCGGTTCCTTCCGGGCAATAGAAGCCTCAGGTGTAAGAGTTGGGTTTAAGGCTTTGGGAAGAGTTTGAGGCGGTTTTAGGATCAGGATCTAGGCCTCAAGCCCAGGAGGGCGGAAACTGAGCAGATGCACGGCAGACCGCGCTGGATGCTGGGGTGGCGACCCAGCGGACACCGGAACTTGTATCGATTGATGTAGGTTGTCGCCTGGATATCAACACAATCCTAGCGGAGATTGGACAGCAGGGATCTCAAACTGAACCACGATGATCGCTGGCCTGGTAACACATCCCTTAGCCAAGAACCGAAGACCTTCTGGCAGATTCTAGCCAACCACCTCTGACATCCTCTGAAAATGATGCCTCAGCGCAGTAGAAGCCCGCAGGGCAAAGATCGCCGTACACACTGTCGGGCCTCACATCGTTGAAGTGTGAAGGCTTCCAATTTGCGCTGTTTGCTCGACGCAGCATGAGATGTCAACCAGGATCCAGCCCTGATGGCATGTCCGACGAATCTCTTTTTCCGCAGAGACGGCACGCTGTAGCACGGCTTCGCGCAGAACGCGAACTGCTACGTCTACGTGAAAAGCGCAGCATGGCCACAAATCCCTTTCCGGGCGCAAGCAGCCACATGCCACGACATGCGAATCATTTCGGTGCCGGGCGTGCTGTGGAGAACCCGATATGGTACGCTATAGGTTAGACGCTTAGACTTTCAGAAGCAGAGCCTACCGTAAACCTAAATCCACATCCTAAACCCTAACACCCCAGTGCCCAAAGCTTTGGAAGCAGCTGAACCCAAAGGGAAGTGCTGAGATGCAGCTTGCGAGGTACCGCTGCGGCTCTGCCTACAAATAACAGTCTTAAAACTGAAACTTTCGGGTCCAAGGATTGTTGGTGAGGGCTTGACATAAACTTTATTCCATGCACATGTGCTGAAATCAGAACATATACCATAAGAGGCTATAACGATATTTGTATCCACATCTATACGCGCTAAACCTTGAAGCCTTCAGGCTTTCAGGCCCACACCCCTCAAACTCTAACCCCCGAACCCACAAACCTCGAACCCCTATAACCCCTAAACCCTAAACCCCTAAACCCTAAACCCTACACCCTTAAACCCTAAACCCTAGCCTTTCTCTCCATCTTTCTAGGATCCTTTGGCTTTCCACTGTCGGCAGTCACCGGGCCGGCGTGCAGAATAGCGGGACCCGATCCTGCTTGCAGCGCGCATCGTGGCGGTCGGTTTCGCCATCCTCGGATATGCATGTATGTATATACGTATATATATATATAAATATAAATATAAATATAAATATAAATATAAATATAAATATAAATATAAATATAAATATAAATATAAATATAAATATAAATATAAATAAATAAATATATATATATATATGCAAACAAAGTTAATATGATGCACATATATATATATATATATGTGTGTGTGTGTATTAATACTGGTATACATATATATATATATATGTATATACACACCTACAATAAGGCTCCGTCCAGCATAGTGTCCCAACCAACAAGGGCGTGGCGTCACAGAACTAAGCGAACAAAAACATGCATATAGAATGAAGCATCCATATTGTGTGGGCATGCTGTATAATCGTGCAGAGATGTGCTTTCATTGCAAAGGTAACAGAGTGTTACGCAAGAGATGTACGGGTGGTCTGTCCCCAAACCACGGGCCTCTGCTTTGGCACACTTCCGGCAGCAGGTGTCCAGTGGGCGGCCCTTGGCAGTCTTGCCTGGCAGATCTAAAGTTGAGGACAGGTGTGTGGGTATGCATATATATATATATACATACATACATACATACATACATCGCTAATTACTTATAACTCGTTCTGTGCATATATAAGCATACAAATAACTATTCGGTTGCTTAGTTATTTGTGTGTGTATTTGCTCGTATATGTATGTATGCATGCATGCATGTATACACTAAAACATAATACATCCTTTTCTGATATTTGCATACATGCAAAAGCATCTACTCTCTCTCTCTCTCTTTGTAGTGTGCAGGAGGCTGTTGTGACACGTGAAGTCTTCGTCTCCCCTCGCCTGGAGCTGCAAGCATGCCACATCCCATCTTGCAGGGAGGGCGCTCACCGTCCTCGTCACCAGGGGAGGGCTGTGAGTGTTTAGGAGTAGTGGGGCTGTTAAACGTAGGATGACTCTCTTCGAGCAGTGGGGGCTACTGCTGTCGCAAGCTCAAGTAGACGACGATTGTGCTGCCACGGGCGTTGATGCAACTGCTTGTGTCCGCGTTCAACAGCTCAACATTAAGCTATTTGCCTCCCAATCTGCATCCACGAAACGCTCATACCTCGAGCCACTGAACCTCGAAGCCTAGAAAACCAGCAAAGCATGAAGTCGAAGCCCGCACCGACATCCGCAAGAATGATGGCGACGACACTAGTAGTCAGCACTGAACATGTTAATCTTTCTAGTCATATATCTATATATATATATATATATATATATACATATATATATATATATACGTCCCTCTAAACCCCAAATCCACGTCATCACATCCCTGAGCAACCTTGAGGCCGCACCGGAGATCATGTCCGAAACCCAGAGCGCATCCTGTAGGGAAGGAAAAGCCGGCAGGTGAGTTAGGGGGGGTTAGGGTTTACGGGGGCGTAGGGTTTAGGGTTTATGGGGGTCATCAGAGGAGTCTGGGTTGGGCGAGTTTTGCTTGAAGAGAGGGGCTTAGAGCTCACCGACTTGTCGTTCGTTTGTTGCAATCTCCCGCTATCTGCGGCTTGGGGGCGCCGTGTTGGCCCAATTTGTTGCAAAGCTATGGGAGTTCTGCTCCCAAGCAAGACCAGTATCGGGGGCACTCGAGGAGCTAAGACAGTCCGGGAGCTTCAAGACCTGAAGCCTTAAGGCAAGGCAGCTGAACAATGATCCTTCCGAAATGTAGGGGCATTCATTATCCTCGTGCGCATCGACCTGCGCCATCTGAGACGTTAACTACTTCAAACGTCACATCTCGTGCTCCACCCACTACGCCTGCTTCTTTGCCCTGGCACCTCGGCAGCAGGTCTTGTAGGGGTTGCCGTGCTTCGTCAGCCCCACTGCCACTGGCTTGCCGCAGCCCCTGACGCAAAGGCCTGGATCTGCTATGGTCGTTACAGTTGCAGCTCATTGCTGTTCGTTGAGTTGCGGCTTGACACCAAGGCTAAAGGAATATGAGCTACTTCGAGGCTTCAGGGGTCTACTGTCTAGGGGTGATTGCTATTGCTCTTGTTAGTGGTCGCGGTCGCACGCCGGAGGTGATGCCCCTCCTACGTTTCGTCGCTACTGCTCTTCGGCCTGAGCCGAGACCCAACACATCACCACCTCAAGAACCCGAAACACCAACCAAAACCTTAGACCCTAAACCCCGAACCCTGAACCCTGAACCCTAGACCCAAACTCTTAGTCTAGGGGCCTTAATCATTATGGGGGATATTGAATACTTACAGTGAGGGATCATGTTTGGCTTGTTTGTTAAATCCTAAACTGTAAACCCTACAGCCCGAAGCCCTAAAACCTGAACCGCAACCCTAAACCCCACACCCCTTTTTGGGGTTCCTTTTTATGGCTTCTACATAGTCTAGTTCCTTAAACAGGCAGGTCTTTGGGCCACAGGTAGGCCTCCGTAGGGGCCGAAGCCCTAAACCACAAACCCCGAACGCTTCACCAACTTCCGGCAGCCTTCAGGGACTTTGACGCCTTCGGAAGGTCCTTCGGCCATGGCCTGTCGCACTCGGGTTTAGGGTTCAGGTTTTAAGGTTTAAGGTTTAGGGTTTAGGGTTTAGGTTCAAGGTTTAAGGTTTAGGGCTTAGGGTNNGGTTTAGGGTTTGGGGGGGGCCTTCAGGGATGCCCTGAGGTCAGGGTTTAAAAACATAGTGTGCGCTACAGGGTTGCTCGTGGTGGGTGCCGGTTGAAGTGTTCAGGCTCGTTGTTGGACATCATACACACTGGCCTAACATTTCGAGTCATATACATGTCCATCTGCATTGCTACTTATGACCAAGAAAGCTGTGTACCCATCTAGACCTACCTACCTACCTACCTACC